GATTTAGCTAAATTTTACTTCAAACAGAATTATAAAGTGCATCTTTTACAGTGTCATTTGTTTTTTTTTTTTGTACAAGTAAAAAAATAAATTAAAGTGATATGCATAAAGTTGAAATATATTTTTATCATTTGATAAGCCAGAAAAAGATATCAGTAGTAGGAGAACATTCTGGAAGTTGAAATGGGAAAGAAAAACTATAAGTTAAATTTGTGAGAAGCATTTTTGCTTTCCATAACGAAAATTTCAGGTTAAAGGAACAAATGAAAAAGTTAACCGATGAGAACAATCAACAAACAGATGTAATTACAGATTTGCAGCGCTCTGTTATGGAATTAAATGTTCGTATAATTATGTAACTACTTTATCAGTGCAAAATATATGTATATATATATAGCAAACTTTTGTTAAAAATAATCTTGATAAATTGATTAATTATGATTCCATGATATGATTATAAATTATTGGATATAATAGTGATAATTTTTTATCAAAAATTCCAATGCAAACATTACGCGAAACAATTGGATAGCATTGAAAAATGGCGGCATCTTTAAAGGATTGTGACAAATTGATAAGTTAGGAGATCAAATGGATCAAATTACCTGAAATCAAAGTATTAAATGTTATCATTGATAGCCAACAACAAAGACTTTTTTAGCAACAGAGTAGTGATATCTAGTGATATGAGCTTAAATAGATCATAGGAGATTTTGGTGATGTTGTTGATAACAATAACGGCAAACGATAATGATAACATGTTGGTTGCAGGAAAAAAGCAGCAAATTTGATGGCATAATGACAACGGTGAAAAAAGCAAAGAAGAAATTGGAAAATGAACGAGCTGAACAAGAATTTGAGATGGAAAAATTGAAAGAAAATGCGCAAAAAACAATGACAAAAGTGGAGACACTGGTACTTGTAATATTAATTTGACAAATGCTAATTAGGCATTGCAATTAATATTCAATTTAACTAAGATAAACAAATTGATGTGATTTCTACGTTTGCGCTATATGTCACTGCTTCAATCGAATACATATATACTACGATCACGAATATATCGGTAAGCAAAGTTTAATACAAATTTGAATTCGTTAAAATTATATTGGATGGTCTAATTTTAGAAGGAAAGCTGTCGTGAGAAAGACAAAGAGATTCGAAAGTTGGAGAAGAAACTGAATCAAACAATTGAGGAATCAGAAATAAATATAGCTGAGATGAAAAAGATTCACAAGCAATCAAAGGACGAATTGCAGAATCGTTTTGATGAATTGAAAAAAGCTTATCAAAAGTAAGTCTTGTTAAATTTTTCAAAATTAATTTTTGTCACGATTATCAGGACTGTCTGTCAATCAATCACTATTATATACTGATGCTATAATCTTTCCGTATTCTGATTTATTACAGAACTAATATTTTAAAATGGAACGTTTCTGAAGATGTTAGCAAATGAAATGAGTTGTTGATTAATTAACATGCTATATAGGAAGGTTGTAATTTGCATGTAAATTTTTAGACTGGAAACAGAAAATAAGACACAGAAGATGAAACTTGAATATTCCGAAAAGGAACGAGAATCTTCCGTTGAATCAGATTATGGTAATAGATTCGTTGAATAAAGTTATGACAATTTGATTATTTAGGTTTCAAAAAATTTTTTTTTCCAGATAACTGATACATGTTTTGCAGTAGACGTATAGTAAAAAGTAATGTATGGCATCAATTGATTGAAATGCAACAAACTATGATGATTTGTGCCATTCTTAATTAGCAATTAGCTCTATGTAATTAGCAGTTAACTTTATTTAATTAACAATCAACTCAACTCTGCTACTTTAAAAAGCTGTTAAATTAGCATCATTAACCAGCAAATAGAAAAAATTCGATATTTTTCAATAATTATTTTAAAAAGCGGATAATATTAGTTAATGCTATACAGTGATCTGTTTGCTTTTGTTTTTTTTTGTTCTTTTTTTTGTTTTTCAAGTCTAAAATAATTTCTTAATTATTTGAAATTTTTTTTGTAAGTCATTAGTCCCAAAATTGTTCTTATTTTAGTATCTGGTGGTAGGCAAAGTCGTTTGGGTAGTCGACAGTACTCTTCCAGTTCATTTGGATCTATTGGATCGATTCGTACATTGAGTAGAAGAACAGTTGAACCAGAAAATAAATTTTCTTCTGGATTTCGTAGTCCTTCTACATTTTCACTGAGTTATTATTCGGTGAGTGATGCATTGGTTCATTTCTTTTTTTGGATTAATACGGTAGTTTCGTTTATCGACCACAATGATGATTAAATTGGATGATTACTGAATTTCATTATTTTACATCATGAATGCTTTCAGGGTGATCCATTCAATCTCTCTAGGAGTTCATCACATAATCAATTTGCTAATGAGCGAAAGATTTCGCAATTAGAAAGACAAATCGTTTCCGCACACACCGATGTACAAATGATGAAACGTGAAATTGAAGTGTATAAGTCAACCTTAGCAGAAAATGAGAAGGTGAGTTCAGAGTTCACCATCATATTACGGATATTCTCGTCTCTCAGATAGCGGTCAGTTCCTTTTGATGCATCGGACTTCAACATATAATTACTGATTGATTTTTGTAATTCCTTTATTATTCATTCATGCTTCGAATTATTTGATCGTCTGAGGTTTTCCGGTTGATTCATTATATTTTCGATAATGCTAAATAAATAATAACCTTTCTTATTAATAAATACATAAATCTTCAATTGATTACCGTATTGTCAGTATTATAGCTTGGTTTAGTTTTATTCTTTCTATAGCATTCTTATAACATTTCAATCTATCCACTGCAATATTTTTGTGATGAACAGTAACTTTTGACACTTGATCAGTGGAAGAAAGTTTTTTGTTTTGCTTCCAAATTTTTCCTAGAAATATTCCAGGAACGAGATATGTTATCGCAAAAGACTCGTACATTGGATATTTCTGTAAAAGAACTGGAACAATCATTATCGGATGAAAAAGGAAGATGTCATGAATGTGAATTACGCTTGAAGAAAACTCAAAATGAACTGGAACATGTACGGGATAAGTACGAGAAAGCGGTGAAAGATGGACAAACGGAACTTCTAGAAGAAAGGTTCCCTCTAATTAATAATTCAACCTTTCACCTTCCTATCTTATAGTGACCTCTATTCTGTTCAATATATTCTCTTACAGAAGAAAAATGAGGTTAAAAATGGATGCATTATTACGAGCAAATGAGGTCAAAAAACGAGACGCCAGAGATGAACAAGCAATCGAAGAGTTACAAAAAGAACTTGCCATTAAAACGTCAGAACTTAATCGAGTTTTGGCACAAGTAAAAATTATAACATTAAATATTGTTAAATATTTTTGAAAATCAATCAAATCTTATAAATAGTTACGGCGGGTAAGTTATGAATATAATCCGTAATTTAAGATAAAAAATCTGATCTCACTTGAAAAACCACCCAAAAATGATTGCAATTCTTTTTTTTTTTTTTCATTATACCACGTAATCACATTTTTGCAGGTCAGTCATCTCGAAAATATCAACAAATCACAGGGTATATATGGAGAAACATGGGAACATCAATATCGAATGACATTTACTGAATTAGAATCATTACGTGACGAAAATGCAAGCTTAAAAACAAAAATACGTAGACAATATCGTGAAATCGAACTTTTAAAACGTGAGATTTCACATTACTAACCAAAAATATGTAATGTAAGTACTGAAATTCGTTACAAGTTCATTTTTAATATATCGTATCCATTGCTTTTCCAATTTCGGTTTAGGAAAATATCTGAACGAATAAATGGTAAATTATTGTTAGGTTTATTGTTAGTTGCAGAGCAGTCAGAAATGGAAGCAGATGTTGCTATGCTGGAAAGTAAAATGGGTATATCGGGAACGAATACAACGACAACAACAACAACAATAACGGAAAGTCCGCATGATAAATACGACTTATCAGTTTGATAATATAATGCCATCCGATCTATCATAACGAAGGCTTCTTATTTAATCTTTGAATCATCAAAATGAAATCAATTCACAAAAAAAAAAATCATTTAAGTAAGAAGGGAAATAATTTTTTACAAGGACTGCATGATTTTGTTAGGATAAATTTCAGTTTGAACGGTTATTTTTCCTGAAAAGACTAATTGCATCTACATGGAAACTTTTAATTTTCCGATTGGTTGAAATTCTTTGAGCATTATAGACCTGTTCATCTTGAACCAGAATGAAGACAACAGATTGGTTCAATCATTGTTGAATATTAAAAAATGAGCAAATTTCAAATTAGAAGAATTTCAATCAGTTTGCTGTTGTAAATTATTAGTGTGCTAGTTATAAAGTTTCATACGATTTAATTATTGGAAGCCTTTTTGTTGATTTATTTTTAATATTATTTTATCGTAATCAAAGTGTTACCAATAACTGCTATTAATAGCTACCAAAAGGATCAAATTTAACTAAAGGAAATAAAAATGTGGAATACCCTTTTTTCATTGGTATTCCTCTCGTACTAAGCTATTCTTATCATACGGGTGCTCGGAAAGCAGGAATAAAATGATTGTACAACCAGAACGAATACTCCCTATTCTCAACTGGATCCAATTTCTTCACGAATAACAAAGGCCTTTAAAGACTTCTCGAACAATACGTTTCACAGGAAATATAATGTTCGATTAACATAAAGCAATTAACAAATAATTAATAATGTAACAGTAGCAATACATTGTACTTCTTGCTTTGCTCTTCGTTGATCAAATTTCAAACCGGTATGTAATTTGTCGAAATATCTTTTCCTGTTGTAGTACTGGCAAACCGTATAAAATCCCCGAGTTTGAGTCATTCATTCCAACGATAGATATTTCCACAATTGCGGTACGGTACCCTGCGCTAAAGCAAATGATGTTTGAGTTATTAATACCTACCGCATTAAGATTGCTGCTGTTCATTCATTCATCCATTTATTAATTAGTAATTATTATTGTCATTACTATTAATTACCATTGTTTCCGTTGAAGTTATCTTATAAATAATAGTGGGAATTTATCTTTCAATTTATCATGGAAATATGGCAAAAATTCGAATTTCACGTTTCGATTGTTCCGGAAACTGGTCTATAAAGTACCACCGGTTGTGTCGTTTCTCTTCATATTATCAACCAAATACGCTACGCAGGAATTATTAACTATCGCCATTTTACGGGATAACATTTTTTATAAGCAACAATAACAAAGTCATTAATGAAGGTTGCAAACAGAAGGACGTCAAAGACTCGTGAAAATAGCAACGGTAAAAAGAAAAAAAAGTAGTCGAGAAAAAAAAGATTGCTAAGAATGAAGGAGTGAAACAGATTAAGAATATTTGAAAAACACAACACTAAATGACAAGAATAGTGATTGACAGCAGCACGAGAGATGATGTTGTTGAAAGAAACGAGTTAAAGAATGATAAGAGTTAGGGAATAATACGTCCAATGCTATATAAATGTGGCGCGAACTAGCTATATCCAATGTAGAGCTAAGTTATTCCTCAACTTGTCAAATTTTCGAACTCTTTAACTTGGTGCATATTTGAGTTGCAACACTTTGCCCGGTTTTGGTTTGACACGTCTACTTGGACGGTGTGGGATGCGTTAATGGTTTCTTCAAGGGTTTCTAGCTTTCGAATCTGGAAATTCTTTCAGACGTCTATTCCCGATTGTGTGTTTCGCTTGTTCTGTTTCCCATCCACTTAAGGATATGTTCTCGAACTTAAGATTATTCGTAAATAAACTCTGATTAAGGAAGGGAAGAGAACAGAAGAGGATGGAAGACTCGTAAATACTGAATTAGGCCTTTGCGAAATATCCTCTGTTCAAATATTTAGATATACGCAAATTTAATTTCCAGAATTACGATGATGTCGGGTTCCAAAACTCCATTGTTTTCGGATTCCAGTCGATTATCTAATAGTAATACCGGAGCATCAACAGGACAACATGCAACACCGAGTTTTCTCTTTGGTTCTCGTAGCAGACGTCGAAGTTTAATTATGTCTTTCGGTACAGTTCATTTTGTTTTACCTAAAAGGCAACATTTTTCAGTTTATATTCAGAATTATATATTCAAAATCCGCATTAATTGCGTTCCGAAAATTTGTAATGTCCAGAAGCCTTGAAAATAAGAATTCCGGAATCATTCTCAAATTGTGAGTGATTGGGCTGGAAATTTCAATGATTTCGCTCGATTGCAGATAATGATACTCCAGAAAAGCGGTCATCAGAGCAAGATGCACTAACCATAACCTCCAGGAGCAGTAATCATTTACAATTCAGCTTTGTGTTTTCTTTTCTTTTTTTGTATTTTCGTGGATAATTAACATCTTTGTTATCGGTATAGTTGAAATGGCAAATGATATATTTTCACTTCTGAAGTGATTCAAGCTGCTTTTCACATTGTCGGTGGGTTACAAACGGTTGATTAAGCAAATAATTCAACGGTTAAGGTCGTGATTATATGCTTCAGATTTATGTTTTTCGTTTCAACATGCAGTTTGCAGAAGTATATCGGACCTCTAGCTGTTACAGTGAATGAAATATGCAGGCATTTGTGGGAAATAACTTGTAAGGCATGGAGACTTGCTTTCCTTTGTGACAACAATAACAGGTTAGGTTATTCTAACTCGTTACTGTAAGTGCAGGAAAGCAACTTTCTCATGTCTTGCAAGCTACATTCAGACAAAATTTTATCCTGAACAGATGAAACTAAAACTGATGAAAACGATGTTGCAGGTTCTCATACCAACAAAAGTGTTCACTGGTCGCCAGCATTGACACAAACGAAAAGTATCGATTCAAGCAGTGTACGTGAAGATTTTCACATGGATACTGATCTGGATAGTTCATGTTCAAAAGGACCGGATGCTTCCGTCGGTACTTTCTTTTTTCCTTCTTATAGTTTCCAATTTGAAATGTTGGGAAATCTTTGCTAGCAGAAAAAAGACAAATTCTCGTTGTCAATTCAAACTTCTTTGGGAGATGCTTAGAGAATTAAGTATCTTTTTCCTTTTTGGCTTTGCAGAAACAATTCTAATAGGTTTCACCATTCTTATGATATTTTCATCAACATAACGTGTTTTTCCTCATTCCATCTGCGTCTTTTGAGTCTAAGCCATGTAGTTTACCTTTTTTCAGATCCTCCTCTTCGTTCAATGAGGGAGGAACTACTCTCCCCACAGCCGGTATCCAAAGATTCAAGTTCAGGAACTGTGAACCTGTCAAGTATATTGGATCCGCAAACACAGTGAGTAGTTCGTTGTTCTTTGTGTACCGATTGAAATTCAGATAAAGTAACAAGAATTAGAATTTAGTGATAATGGTATGCAAGCACTCAGTGTTTATGTATCAGTTGTTTTAGACAGGAAATTGCTGCACATTGGATTACCGTGTATGGTTTCTCTCGTGAAGATGCAACAAATGTCCTTAAATTATTTGCACGACATGGAACAGTTGTTGCTCATCGGGTACTTTTCATTTTTGTTTCTATTATTTTGTATTATTTTCAACAGCACCTGTACATTTGGTTCTTCAGACATAAAAATATGATCATAAAATTCTTGTTCCAGTTTCCTAGAGAAGGCAATTGGATGTTTTTACGTTATGCTTCACCCATTCATGCCCAACAAGCTCTTTCGCGAAATGGACAAATTATAGATGGCCGTTTGCGCCTGGGAGTAGTTCCAGTTGATAATGAGGTAAATTTATCGTTCATTTTCAGTACTGACGAGTCGATGAGACTTCATCTTCCCCGTCGTACTCTTGCTTCTGGACCAGTCTGAATTACCGTCACTACCATTTATTATTACTTTTGCAGGAGTTGGTGAATTTGGAAGATGATGACTATTTAAACTCATTTTCACAAACAAATAATGAAAACATTCTCCACTATGGCCATAGTAGATCGATTTTGGCGGAAAATTCCTTTTTATCTGGAGTTGGCCCGTTATCTTCACCAATTACACCCTCTCGTCCTTTGGAAACAACTTTTAATCAGTCCCTAATTGGGTCAGCCGCCCGCCCAGGAATTCGCTCTCTACGTGCTTCTTTCAATGTACTAGATAATTATTATCGGGTAAATTGCCTTTAATCTTTTTCCACTTAAATGTTTAGATTTTCTTTAACTTCATGTTTTTGCATCACTTATCAAATTTCTTAATGTTTACTGTGGGAACCCTTACTCTGTTGTCACTTCCGGATTTACTTGCCATGTAATTATACTATCGGATTAATCCATTTTGAAATTGGACAACTGGTGGGTTATTTTTGTCCTCAAAGTATTTTTTTTTTCTTATTCATCTTATTTTGATACATTAGCCAACTTTTTTCTTATTTAGCAAAAGGAAAGTGCTGTTATGGACTGAAACTTAGGTAGAATTATTAAAGCATTTTTTCAAATGTGTATGACTAAATGTAAGCACATTTTTCAGGTTGGCGAAGAAACAGAACCAGAGAAGTCCCATGGATTGTTGGATAAATTGTGGAGTTTTGTTTCATAATGAGAAGCCAAGTGTTATTAAATATTGGTTCGCATTTCTTTGTATCTCAGCAGCCAATG